TTAAAAGTACATTCTAGTTAAGCTTGTCTCGGCTTTCGTTACTGGATGGAGGAGGGGGGTCAAAACAGGTCACCAACCTTTCGGACCTCAGGGCCCACTAAATTCATAATTTTAAATCCCGCAGACCACTAACACATTCTGCCTAATGACTAGGTGGGTGGATGTGACTAGGTGGTCATGTGACTGGGTGGGTGTGACCAACTCAACGTCACTCACACATCCAGGGGCGCCTTGCGGGATTCTACATGCCCCTCCCTTCCCAGCCACTCCTCACCTGCCCACCTGGGCCCCAACAGGAAGCAGTTGCTGGAGCGAAGCAGCCACCATGAGAAAGAGTTGGCAAAACAGCTCAGTTCAAATTCTGACCGAGAAGGAGGCTCGGCCGAAGCACCTCACTGAGGACTACGAGCACAGGCTTTCCAAGCAGAGGGAAGATCTGCAAGAGGGCAAAGCCAGGGGTCGGTGCCTGGGGGCTCAGCAGGCTGAGATAGTCAGCCAGTTCCAGACCATGATGCAGTCCCACTTGAGCCAGCCTCTTCGCCACCAGCAGTGCTTCCCTCCAGCCTTCGCCCAAAGCCCCCCACCAGGAGGCTGAAGCAGACCCCAAGTTGGAATTTCTGCCCCCCTCCGACCCTCACAAAAAGACCCCGAAAGGGGAGACTCTCTGCAGCAACACAAGTGTCCATTGCACATATCCGTCCCAGGGGCCGTAGTTTGAGGACCCCTTGATTTAGTGCAATATAAAAAATGCAAATAATTTTTCCGCAGACCACCGAAATTTTCTTGCAGACCACTACTTGGTGACTGCTGGACTAGATCGCCTACAAGAAGTGAAATATCCAGTCAAGAATCTTAACAGGGCCCAATTAAAGCATTCGGGCCTCGTTCCTAAATAAAATTTAAAATCTCCTAATGAAGGTAATAAATAAAATTATATCCCGATGATACATTATTTGATGCCTCATTGAATTTTCGCTCCTTGGATTATGAATGGCTCAGCCATGCTAAGTAGTCAATATACATATTATCAAAGGATGTTGAAATATGTATTTATGAAATGAAATCCATACACCAACTAAGACAGAGTGGAAATAAGAGGAGGAGGGGGAAACCTAGGGAAGACTCTGGCAAAAGTCATTAAATCAAACACAAAAATAAGGGGAAAGGCTCCGTCTATAAATCCATAATCTTAAATAAGTCATAAGGCAGCGCTTTAGGGATGAATTATCACTGGTCTTTTGTCTAATAGGCTTCCTCATTTCAAATTCTTGTTTATTTTCTCCAAAAGAACAGATTTATGCCCATAAATATCATTCAGGCCCAACGCGATCAACATTTTTCATGATGAAGGTTAATCTTGAAGAATGGTAGGGCAGATGTACCATCAATGGTGTGGTGGAATGTCGTCTGGATTCCCAAAAAGGGAGGGGCTGAATTCCAGAGGACCAAGAGACAGTGAAGTTTGATTGGGAGGAAGAGAATTAAGACATCCTCTTGACGCCAGTACCTACTTTAGTTTGGCAAGATTTCTGTCTACAGATGAGGAACAATAAAGAAAACTGCCTCAATGTGTCTCTCAGTTTTTGAAGTCTAATGTCAGAGTAATGATTTAAGAGCTGACCAGCTGCTATGATGATGTAATGCTAGGAATGAGTCAGCAAGATTTTTGGGCTGATATCACTTTAAGAGCCTATAATAAGAAGAGGCCCTATTGAGGCGTATCTCCCTCTCCGTGTGCACTTCTGTGCTGTAATTGCTGATTGCTGTTTGTTTGAGGTCTGATTATGTGTATGTATATATTCTTTGTAGATAAAACCACTATTTAAACCCAAACTTGTTTACTGTATTTGCTCTTGGGTTGTCTCACAAAGTCACACTGTGCGCAATCTGACAGGTTATGGGCCCAGTCCAGAACGAAGGTGAGAGAAACCATAGAGCAGAGAAACCCAGTGAGAGCTTGCACCAGAGTCAGAGAATTTGTACATCATGGTTTGTTATGGGTTAGTGATTGCAACGGAAACAAGCAATATGGCTTCCGTCAGCATAATGGGAGGAGGTTTCGTGGTGTCTCAGCTGAATGAGGCAAACTACCTCTCCTGGAGTGTAAAGATGGAGATGTGCCGGAGAGGAGTTGCGGACGATAGTTACTAATCCACCAGCAGTCCTGGATGATGGGGACTGGAGAAGAAATGAAAAGGCATTAGACAACATAATTCTGGCTTTGGAGGACAGTCAGCGGATACATGTGAAGCATCTCCAGTCTGCGAAAGAATGCTGGGAGGTGTTGGACATCTAACAATTGGTAGGGCTGTCCCATCTGATGACAGCGAATGTCCGCAGGTGAGGAGCAATAAAGGAAAATGCTCAGGAGAATCTCAACGTGATTCTCTTGGTTTCTGGAGCCTGACCATTGGCAGGATTGCCCCATCAGGTTACAGCAAGTTCCATAACTAAACCATGACTCCTAGATGTCCCACCATGCATGTTCGTTGGAGTCATTCAACCTCACTATTAGGTCTTGCTTTTGCAGACCAAGTTCAGCAGAAGATGTGGCGGTGTCCTCTTTGTACACAGAGGTGGGGAATGGATGGCTAAGGTTTTTTGAAAAATAGAATAACAGATTTGGAAGGGAACTCGGAGGTCTTCTAGTCCAACTCTGTATTCAAGCATTTGTCATAAGTGGGTTGTCCAGCCACTTCTTTATAAATCTCCAGTGATGGAACTTCTGGAGACAAGCCGTTTCACTGGTTCTCGGTGTCAGGAACTAATTTTTTTTAGTTCTAGATTGCTTCTCTCCTTGATTAGTTTCCACCCATCGTTTCTGGTCTTGCCTTTTGATGCTTTGGAAGATAGGCTGCCCTGCTCTTCTTTGTGGCAGCCCCTCAAGTACTTTGTCTGTTGCTTGTAGATACACTGAAAGTTTATGCACTGAAGACAAATTACTTGTGTATCCAATCACATACGGCCAATAAATAATTCTATACTGTTCTGTTCTGTCTCATTCTATTCTTCCATTCTGTTTTCTATTTTCTATTATTTTCTATTTTCTATTATTTTCTATTTTCTATTCCTATTCCATTCCATTCCATTCCAATCTATTCTATTCTATTATTCTGCTCTGCTCTGCTCTGCTCTGCTCTGCTCTGCTCTGCTCTACTCTACTCTATTTTACTCTACTCTACCCCTACCCCTACCTCTATTCTATTCTATTCTAGTCTATTCTATTCTATTATTCTACTCTACCCCTACCCTTACCCCTATTCTATTCTATTCTATTCTATTCTATTCTATTCTATTCTATTCTATTATTCTACTCTACTCTACCCTACCCCTACCCCTACCTCTATTCTATTCTATTCTACTCTATTCTATTCTATTCTTCTATTCTATTCTTCTATTCTATTCTTCTACCCTACCCTACCTTATTCTATTCTATTCTATTCTACTCTTCCATTCCACTCTCTATCTCCTCTCCTCTCCCATCCCAGTAGCCATACCTAATTCCTGCAACTGGTCCTTCAGACCGCATCAACGCCAACCCCTTCTAAGAGCCAAGGTGGCGCAGTGGTTAAATGCAGCACTGCAGGCTACTGCTAGATCAGCAGTTCAGCGGTTCAAATCTCACCGGCTCAGGGTTGACTCAGCCTTCCATCCTTCCGAGGTGGGTAAAATGAGGACCCAGATTGTTGGGGGCAATATGCTGACTCTCTGTAAACCGCTTAGAGAGGCCTGAAAGGCCTATGAAGCGGTATATAAGTCTACTGCTATTGCTATTATTCTAATTAGATGGAGAAGACCCACAGCTCCGCTCATCTTGGGACTTACAGGGTCTCTGCTCAAAATGAGAAGCCGCTGAAAGTCAAGTCAGTCGTCGCAGATCAATTTCCTTACGGTAAACACGAAGGCATCACAGTAAGACTAGCTTTCGTTCCTGATTCTTTTCTCCTGGTTTCTGTTTCAGCAGCTGGTAAGAGTTCTGCTTGAGTCCCCACCTTCTTTCTCCCTGACGAATGCAGTTTGTTTTTCTTTGTTTTCTTTCCGCCTCCCCTGGTGAGTTTCATCTTCGGTTGTAACGAGAGTGTAAAACTGGAGTGCAGATCTTACATGCAACTTTATTAAGGCTACAATATGATTGTTTTCCCTCTGCTAATTTCCACCCCCAGCACGGAGCTGGGTCTTGGCAAATCTAATATCGACAAAATTATAGCCTCTAAGTACAAGGATGCGATGGCTCAGTGGCTAAGACACGGAGCTTGTCGATCAGATAGGCTGGCAGTTCAGCGGTTCAAATCCCTAGCACCGCGTAACGGAGGGAGCCCCTGTTCCTTGTGCCAGCTTCTGCCAACCTAGCACTTCGAAAGCACATAAAAAATGCAAGTAGAAAAATAGGGACCACCTTTGGTGGAAAGGGAACAGCGTTCTGTGCGCCTTCGGGCATTGAGTCATGCCGGCCACATGACCACGGAGATGTCTTCGGACAGCAATGGCTCTTCGGTTTTGAAACGGAGATGAGCACTGCCTCTAGAGTCGGGAACGACTAGCACATATGTGCGAGGGGAACCTTTACCTTTTTCCTTAGGTAGCAGGGATGGTAAAAACAACTTCTGGGGAAGGTCTATTGATGGGTTTTAAGGGGGAATATTCAACATCCCATTATTGTAAACTTAAATATCATTTTCAATCTGTTTAGAGAGTGAATGATATAATTTTCTCCTCCCTCCCTCCCTCTCTTCTCCTCTACTTTCTGTTTCCTGCAGCAAAAGACATTAGATAAACGGTGATTTGCCCCAAATATTTCCAACTCATAAAAGAGAGAGAGAGAAAAAACAAATATGGCATTTGGAGGCTGGTTTGGGAAAGAAAACAAATGCCCCCCCCTCTATTTCAAAGCAAATTAGTTTCCTGCGTCGTCCTCTGATAATTAATAGGGTCATGCAAATTTGCACCGATCTGATCTGAACAATGGATTCCATTTGGATCACCCGATCAGCCCCATTTATTTAACTATCACAGTTGTGTTGTGCCAGAATCCAACGGAATCTGGAATCATTGGATTCAATACCCAACATTGTTGGAAGCCAAATCGCTTGCTTTCCAGCATCCCTCTCTGCCACTCAAGTATGGGAAGTCAATTTTAAGATTGACGGTCGAGAGCTTCCCAATCTCTGGATCAAAGCTTTGCCTGGCCACGATCTGCAACGTTTTTAATTTTCAAATCTTCGCTTGGGATCCTAGAGGTACTCAGCCGCATTTGTGGGGTTACTGGTGTTGCAATTTTAACAGCCTTGTTGCGCGTAGACGCAATGGATTCTTCTTGAACTCGCAAACAAGGGTGTTTAGGATGCTCGGCCTTTGCGTTAACCTTGCCTTAACCGAGATAAAGGAATCACAGATCCTTTTAGGGAGCAACAGGTTTTAAAAAGGAATCGCTGCTTTAAAAATGGGTGTTGTAAGTTGGTTTCTTTCTAGCACTGATGTGGTTACCTAGTTGGGTAATGAAAGGAAATAAGCAAGCTCAGCGAGCACCAAGGATAATATAGTCCCTGCTCTCTTCCTCCCCACTACTTTCTAGCACTGATGTTGTTACCTAGTTGGGTAATGAGAGAAAACCATCAAGCTCAGAGTGCACCAAGGACACCACAATCCCCTCCCCTCCTCCTCCTCCTGAGGAGGAGGCAGAAGAGAAAGAGGAGGAGGAAGGCTGTGTGCTCTCTGAGCTTGCTGGCTTTCTTGCAGATGTTTCATTACCCAACTAGGTAACAACATCAGTGCTAGAAAGTAGTGGGGAGGAAGAGAGCAGGGACTATATTATCCTTGGTGCTCGCTGAGCTTGCTTATTTCCTTTCATTACCCAACTAGGTAAC